TGCCCAGAGAATCTTTCAGTAACGAAAGTCGAGGCTTGAATTTTTTCCTCAGTTCCTTCAACTTGAGAAATGCTGAACGTGTTCTTCCTTTTTGGTTTTCTGATTCCAGATTTTTGCACATTTTGTTGTTATATTTGGCTTTATCTTCTCAAGCTGATCTTTGAAATTTTCTGTTCAGCTCTTGTACCTCCTCCTTTCTTCCATTTACTTTAGCATCTCTACGCTGGAGAGCAAGTTTCAGCGTCTCTTCTGACATCCATTTTGACCTTTTCCTTCTTTCTTGTCTTCTTAATGACATTTTGTTTTCTTCATGTCTGATGTTCTTGATGTCATCCCACAGCTCTTCTGGTCTTTTGTCTCTAGTGTTTAATGTTATCAAATCTGTTCTTCAGATGATCTCTAAATTCTTTCTTATGGTTGTATGAAAAAGGAAAAAGGCAAGGAATGCAAAGGTAAAAAGGTCCATTGACTAGTTGTTGTTGTTATGTGCTGTGGAGTCGCTTCTGACTCATAGCGACCCTGTACAGGGTTTCCAAGGCTGTAAATCTTTATGGGATCAGAAAGACTCATCTTTCTCCTGTGGAATGACTGGTTTCCAATGGCTGACCTTGAGGTTATCAGACTGACTCATAACCACTACTACACTACCACAACTCCTTATTAAGTAGTTCAGTAGGAAAACAACAAGCCCAACGTCATCGAGGTGATTTTGACTCGTAGTGACTCTATATAGGGTTTGCAAGGCTGCAAATCTTTATCAGAACAAAAAGCTTCATCTTTCTCCTGCAGAGCAACTGGTGGTTTGAATTGCCGACCTTGCAGTTAGCCGTCCAGTGTTTATCCTACATCACCATCAGAAGACGGAGCTTAAAGGACACTGTGGTAACCACACTTAGTTTGGTGTTTCCTTGTGGCGCTCACAGTTAATGTGCCAGACTGCAAAGCCATTTGAACTGCAAGGTTGGCGGTTCAAGCTCTACTCCTCGGAAACCCTATCCAGGGTCGCTATGGGTCAGAACCAACTTGATGGCACTTAACAACAACAACACCCTCTATTACTTCCAGCACATTCCACAATGCGCCTCTCCTGGACACTGTTTGTTGCTGTTAGCGATGTTGAGTCAGTTCTGACTCATAGTGACCCTGTATAGGGTTTCTGAGGAATGGCAGCTGAGTTTGAACCACTGACCTTGCAGTTCAAACTGACCTCATGATCTAGTGCTTATGCTAAGGTGCCACATCAAGATTCTGTGCTAATTATTACAAATAAAACTGTCACAGGAAACACAGACTTGCAGAAACCTGCAAACCACTTTGTTTCCCTCACAATTCTTGACCCCTGGATAAGTCCAGTTTTTCCAGTAATTTGATGAAATGAAAATAGAAGTTTCACTTGCAAACATTTAGGCAAAAAACAAAAACCAACCAACTACAACTTTATTTACAAGATGTAGCCATAGCTATGTAAATATGTTAGCCCCGTCCCCAAATCACTTAGATTCTATCTTCTAAGTTTGCCAGTAAGAAGAATAATTCACTTACCTGTGCAGGTCCAACTCCACATAGGGAAAAATAAGTTTTTCTTTAATTAGCTCCCAAATGATTCGCGTCATCTCATCTCCTTGCATCTCTACTACAGAACCGCCACGGATTTTTTGGAACATTTTGACTTTTAACAAATCTTTAAAATGAGAGAGAGAGAGAGAGAAAGTAAAACATATGCATTGTCATATTTATTTCATTATAAAGTGGACACAAAAATGTAATTTGGTGACTATGGAAAGAACACGTCATAACAGCAGGACTATATGAAAGACTAGTAAAAACACTCACATTTACCATTAGAATTGAGCACCTTCTCTGAGTAAGGTATTGTGCTGCATGCGTCACTTGTGGTTGCAAGGTCAGGCCCACAGAAATCCTATAAGATGGAAACTTTCCCCATTTTACTTAGTGGGCAAAAAATGATCTTGCCAAAGGCCACCCTCTGCCCTAAAGTGTGGGGGAGTTTGATACAGTAACAAACCCTTATTAACATCTATTCTTGACAGCTGGATTAATTCCATTAAAATTAATTCTTTTAACAGTATTGTGTTTAACTCCTCATTTTACTGGGTCCTCAAGATAAGCAAGATGACTAGGTAGGGTCTCCCCTTTAGAGGAAGCTGTTTGGGCTATTTACAACAACTATACTTGAAAGCACTGAACTGGCTCTTGAGACTCAAGCTCAAGGAAACCTAGATTGAGTCTAAAAGTTAAGGGAAAAATTAATCCCCAGGGTACTATGTTTTATTCAAGACAAAATAAACATTGGTGGTGGCTATGTGCCGTGGAGTCGGTTCCGACTCATAGCAACCCTGTACAGTGTTTCCGAGGCTATAAATCTTTACGGTAACAGAAAGCCTCATCTTTCTCCCGCAGAACAGCTGGCAGTTTTGAACTGCTGACCTTAAGGTTCACAGCTCGAGTCGTAACCACTGCGCTACCAGGGTGTTAAATTAAAAAGTTATTTTTTAATTAGAGAACTCTGTAGATAGAAGAGTCACTGCCCAGGATTCAAGCACATCTCTCTCCCTTTCCTCAGTACCTTAATTCCTCAAATGCCCCTCTATCTGTTCATGGGCAAGGTGGGCTGCTGGAGGGAGTGGGGTGGAAGAGCAGAATTGTTCCAAGAAGACAAGCCACTTTGAGAAATGGTTGCTAATATGAATCAGTCTGATTGCCAGAAGGGCAAGTGTGGAACAAACATATGGAAGAAGTGAAACTGTGAGGCTTAGAAAAAGGACACCCAGAGATTGTTTCCTGAGAGCCAGACGAGGCTCAGAACCTGCTACAGGTATCTGTTCCTTCTCAAGATCCTCAAAAGGAAACTTATTTTTTCATCCAACAACACAGCTGCAAATTGCTTTTATCTCCTTACGTTATAGCTGAAGAAAGGAAGTCAGAAAAAGTGACTTTTAGAAAATTATTAAGTATGAGGCCTATATATAATTTGCCTTATAGAGCTGGGCTAAAGTAATCTGGCCTTAAATTAAAAATGTAATGGTCAGTGGACAGTCTCAGCTTCCTGTGACAGCAAGATATATTCTGACCTCTCTAGGTCCATTTTCACTTCCCAAGTTTACAAAACTAGAATCCTACCTACTAATGTTTAGGAGGTTCTCTAGACTCTCACTGGGGAACCATCTGGAACTCAATGAGAAAGAACAAAACAGACTGATGTAGGTAAGTCAGGGAATTCTGCTAGAATTCCTATAATTCCAAATATGATCATATATTAAAAAACAAAAGAAGTCACGCAACTCCCTCCGGGTGTGTCGGAGGAAAACCATGTTCTACAGGGTTTGCAGTAGCTGATTTTTTTCAAAAGTAGATCACCAGTTTTTTTTCCCCAAGGTACCGCTGGATGGTTTTGAACTGCCTACCTTTTGGTTAGAAGCTAACTTCTTAACTATTTGCAACACGCAAGGACATAGTACTGACTCCGGTGTTCTACACAGAGAGTGCTCCAAAGGTTAACTCCCACCTGGAATTCATGTCTGTCTTACAGAATAGCTTAAAGTATATGATTTATGTCTATTTTACAGTGTATGCTTGGATCCCACTTTTATATATATTTTTGAAGTCTTTGTACTTCAAACAAAACAAAGCAAAAGAAGTGGCAGCAAAGTTACTTGCTCCTGATACCACATTTATATGTCATGCTCCAGTATATAGGTGGTTTTGCCTTAATGACAAACAGTTAATAAAATTGTACCAAAATTTTCAAGACTACATTGTTCAAACATGTCATAATCTTTTAGCCTGTCATAATGTGCAGTGGAAACACTTCATATTACTTTTCTATTAAATCTCTGCCACTTTATTGTAAACTCTGGCTTAAATATAATGTACATCATTATATTATTTCTCCTAGAGTTGAATTCTATGGGATAGGCTTTAGGCCTTACTGGATTCACCTTTGTCCTTCATCAGATTTTTCTTTCTTCACCCCAACCTTGACTTTAGAGAGAACTTTCCAAATGGATCAAGTACCAGTTCATTTAGTTTGAAAGCAGCTGAGTTCCAATCTCCTGATACAACTTGTGTAATTCCAGACGATAAAGTTAGAATAATACAAAGCAGTTGAAGAAGAGCCACTCACTCTATTTAATTTTATTTTCATCACTACTGAGTGTGTAGCCAGATTTCCTCTTCTTTTTTAAATTTTAGTTCACAAACTAAAAGAAATTCTGGATAAGATGGGTCTCTTGCAGAAAATACACTGGACCAAAAGAAACACAGAAGCAATGCCCTGAATCACTCCCTAGCAGTAATCAGCCAGGGGTGGGGGTGGGGGAGCAAGACTAGTGGAAAAACAGGCAAGAAGACACAGAAAGGGGGGAGGGGAGCTAGGGGAGGGACGGGACAGAAAGAAGACACTTGCATTCTCACCTCTTGTTATCAACTTGTGATCCCCTCAACGTGCCTAGAATCCTGCAGGCTCAGCTGAAGGCAATTTACCTACTAAACTGAGACAAAGAAGGTAGAGAGACTTAACACACAGAACAACACTTTCACGAAGATTTGGTGAGTTGTTTTTCACACTGCCAGACAGCCAGGCCTATCTGGTTTAAGTACAATGCGGAATGTATCCAGAAGGGCAAAGGGCAATTTTAGGTCTGCAGGAAACTTGCAAAACATAGGTCAAAGGAGCACGCATATCTCTGTATCTACACTAGAGGGTGCATCCGTGGGCATGTTCCCGGTCGTTCCTTAGCGGGTCTCGGGATTTGGAAGTCCTTGGGTGACGCTTTGACCCACAGGCTATTGGCCTGCATACAAGTCCTACCCGCAGTTGTGCAAGACCTCTGCAACTGAAGCTGGCTGGGTTCTTCCTTTCAGGTTTCCAAGACCGCCTCCTCCATTCCCTGGGCCTTTAAAGTTTTGGAATTGGGGGCGGGTTGGGGCGCCTTTCCCGCAACTCAAGATCCCAGCGGTGGTGGGTGTGTCCCCCACCCTTTCTTCAGTTCCTGAACAGACCAGCGAACACCCCTCTGACAGCATCTTGGAGCTCCGCCCCCTCCACGCCCCCAGGCCGGCCATCCAGCCTGTCGTAGGGCCAGTCGGGTGGTCTGAGTATGCGTCCACACCCAAGTGCTACGCTTCCACGCTCCTCGACACCCAGCTCCTCACTGCTGCAAGCTTTCTTCTTCCTGCACCCAATACTCAGTTTCTACACGCACTTGCAGCCTCCCACCGCTCGATTTCCCTCCCTGTGTCCAGACGTGGCCTTACATTTGTCACTACATGAAACTTCCTTGTCGCCTGATTTTCTCCTGCCATGCCAAGCAACCCTCCTGGCTCCCCTCCGCCCACTGCTGGGATAGCTTTCCTTCCTGGCACCCAGGCCTCGACGCTAAATCCTTGTCTTCCAGTCCGAGATCTAAACTTTCCTTCTTTTTCCCACTCAGGCCATCGGTGGAATCTGAGCCTCACCCATCATCCAGAAGTCGAGGCCGCCCCCAGGACCCTGCCGTTACCTGAAGTGAAAGATGGGCTGGCAGGTGCCGGGGGCACTGCAGTAACCCGAACTGACACGCGTACACTGGCGGCTCCAACTATCTTTACTCCAGCTACAGGCTCTGCAGAAATTCTGGGGCCAGGGGGCAGGGCAGGGTTTCTTCTCCCGGCCTTTGTCCCCTCCCAGGCCCAACCTCCTCAGCCCACCTCCGGAGCCCCGCCCCCATCGCACCGCCAATCGCCACGGCCGACCCCCGGGGTGGGCGGGCTGGAAGCTTTTCCTGCTGGAGCGAAGTAGAAAGCACAGCTGTATAGCCGATCCTCCCTGAGCCGCTGGGGCTCTCCGTTGGGGAAGGACGTGAGCGCCACCTGCTGGCAGGAGGGTGACGAGCTCCGGTCGGGAGAGGCAGCCAGCAAGCAGCAGAGGGCGACTCTGGATTTGTACAAATTGAGAGAGTCTCCAAATACCTGATAAAGGCAAATGGGGCCCAGGAAGCCCAGATGGCAACAGTCCGTCAGATCCCCTTCCCCGCTCCAGATGCGCTCTACACAGCAACCATGGTGCACGCGCGAGCTTGGGGTCGGTTTCGGAGCTTCTCGGAGCTGTTAAACCACAAGCAGGCACACCTGAATAAGTAGGAGGTCTAGGGCTTCTGTAACTATAATCTCAATTACTACTATGCAGTTGTTGTTGTTAACTGCCATTGAGTCGGTTCCGACCCATAGTGATCCTATATAGGGTTTCGAGGAGCAGCTGGTGAGCTTGAACCGCCGACCTTGCGGTTCAAACCGAATTTGCAGTTAAGCGCATTAATCCACAGCTCTATACCAGGACTCCAATTATGTTGTTGTTGTTAGGTAACATCTAGTGGTACCGACTCATGTGACCCTATGCACAACAGAACGAAACACTGCCCTATCCTGGGCCAACCTCACAACTGTTGCCACGCTTGAATCCATTGATGCTGCCATTTTGTCAATCCATCTTGCTGGCGGGGGGGGGGGGGGGTTCCTCTTTTTCTCTGACCCTCCACTTTACCAAACATTACATCCTTCTCCAGTGACTGGTCCCTCCTGACAATATGTCGGAAGAATGAGAGACGAAATTTGGCCATCCTAGCCTCCAAGAAGCACTCTGGTTGCACTTCTTCCAACACAGATATGATGGTTCTTTTGGCAGTCCA